ATTACTCTTTCCTTTAGAAGTTTATTTTGCTGTCATAATACTGCCTAAGATCAGCTCTCTCTGGATTCTTCCCCCATTCACTATCTTTCTCTGGATTCTTTCCCCTTCTCCTTACCCACAATGAGTCTGTCCAATTTGATTTCTGAAACTAACATTCTATTTGTTATTCTGAAAGAAACTTTATGCTTGATAGTTCTGAAATCCTCAAGGGCTTAGTTCACCACAGCATCCTGATCTGTTGCTAATTTTGTGCAGTTTTTTTCTACTGACCTGTAATTCAGAACCTGTGATGATTTTGCCAAATTTTTCAGTTAACTTTCAAATCTATTTTGCCAGTTTGATTAAAAAATAATGTTTCAGATTAGGGTGGTGGCAGTGACGATGAAAATAATTGAACATTAAGAGAAATATTTTGGTGAGTTGATCAAGGGGAATTGCTTATGGTCTAATATAGGAGTGAAGAGGTGCTCAAAATGGTGTTTGGCTTGAGCAATTGGATGAACATTTTACAGAAATGGGAAAAAGTGGAAGAAGAATGATTGTCAATGACAGAAGTAGGCACTCTATTTGGTTATATTAATTTTGAAGTACATAAAAGATAACATGTGGATATATCAAAGGAAGTCTTTGAACTGAAAGGAAAAGGTCTGTTTAGATGTCACTTTGGGAAGCCTTTCCTATATGCCCACTTCCCATCCCTTTAAGCTTGTTACCCTTGCTACCCATAGCATCCATCATCACTTCATTGTAGATTTTATCAAATTTACATTGCAATTTCCTTTTTATTGGTCCACTTTCTCTGTTAGTGATTGTTAGTGGTTTGTGGAACAGAAACTATGTTCTCATGTTTTTCTCAGGTTCTTTCCTGGCTCAATGCTGACATTCATCTCTTCTTATTTGTTCAATGCATGCATATAACAAGGTAGTCAACTCAATTTTTTTCTGTAGCTCCAATAAGTAAAACTCATTTTCCAAATTCAGCTAAAATTTGCCTTCATCTGTCTTCTATTCCTATGAAGCTAGATGCTACTAATTTACTTGTCTGAATACTGACTTCAATAATTTGCTTTAGATCATATATCGGGATGAGTGTACTACCCTTTCAAACCAGGCATGCAATAAAAATCCCAAAACTGTTTCTATATGTAATATCTTAAAGTATGTCTCCTCGAATATGTTTTTGTATTGTCTTCCATAGCCAAATGCAGGATTAAATACATACTATTCAATTTCATCTTACTGGAGATTTAGTACTTAATTCAGAAGTGGAGATCATTTGGGATCATACATATATATTTAAATATCTTGACTTACACTTTTACCTCTAAGTGTTCAGATGCCAAAATCGGGCGTCAAGTCCTTCTGCCCAGCTTCAACCAAAAAACAACACTTTCTGGTTAACAGAAAATTTATTTTATGGTAGCTTAACATAAAGTTTATTTTTGATAATTTTTAAAAACCACTTTCTAGTGCCCATCAGTAGATGAATGGATTAGAAAACTGTGGTACATCTACACGATGGAATACTATGCTGCTGTTAAAAAGAAGGAACTCCTACCATTTGCAACATCATGGATGGAACTGGAGAGCATTATGCTAAGTGAAACAAGCCAGTCAATGAAGGAAAAATACCACATGATCTCACTCATTCATGGATAATAAAGACCATTACAAACTTTTGAACAATAATAGATACAGAGGCAGAGCTGCCTCAAACTGATTGCCAAACTGCAGTGGGAAGGCCAGAGAGAGTTGGGGGGCAGGAGGGAGGGGCGTAAGAGATCAACCGAAGGACTTGTATGCATGCATATAAGCATAACTAATGGACATAAGACATTGGGGGGTAAGGGAGGGTAGGGGTGTGTCAAGGGCTGGGGGGAAAAAAAGGACACTTATGTAATACCCTTTGTAATACTTTAAGCGAAAAATAAAAAAATATTAAAAAAAAAAAAAAAAAAGAAACAATAGATTATGTAATAGTTGCCAGTGAGATAAGTGACTAGTCATCTGGAAAGAAAGAATAAAGCTAAATAAATACTTCATTTCTTATATGAAAATAAATTCCAGAAAATATTTAAATAACAAATAAATAAACTTGTAAAAAAAAAAAAATAAAAAAAAAATAAAAACCACTTTCTACAGCAAGTCAATGATGACTTCCTCAATAATGTAGTCAACACCACACCCTTATCCCTCCCCAAGTTGCCACCACCCAATTAAAATGGTTTTAATGTTAAATATTTGTATAATTTACCCAGTATTAATTAAAACTGTGTGGCTAATTTTAATGAATCATCAATCTATTTAAGTTATTTTGAAAAGATCACAGTAATTTGGTATCAGTGAAAATTCTTTTTTTAAAATATATTTTATTGATTTTTTACAGAGAGGAAGGGAGAGGGATAGAGAGTTAGAAACATCGATGAGAGAGAAACGTCGATCAGCTGCCTCCTGCACGCCCCCCACTGGGGATGTGCCCGCAACCAAGGTACATGCCCTTGACCAGAATCGAACCTGGGACCCTTCAGTCCGCAGGCCGACGCTCTATCCACTGAGCCAAACCAGTTAGGGCGGTGAATATTCTTATAAGTTTTTAATTCCCACCCCCCCAGCTTTAAACACAAAATGGACTTTATGCAAAGGAATTTGTCAGTTCTTTGGTTGATTTTTCATCTCCTCCCCCCCTCTCCCCCCCGCCCACCTTCCCTCTGAGGTTGGATGGTCTGTTTGATGCTTCTATGTCTCTGGATCTATTTTAGTTCATCAGTTTGTGTTGTTCATTAAACTTGTATGCATGCATATAAGCATAACCTATGGACACAGACAGTAGAGGTGTGAGGGCAGGTGCTGGGGAGGTGGGAACAACCTGGAGAGAGGTCAATGGGGGAAAAAAGAGACATATAATACTTTAAACAATAAATTAATAAAAATAAAATAAAATTATAAAAAATCAAAGAATTTGTCAGTTCTAAAAATGCTTACAGTTCAATTTATCTTGTCTCACATTTTTTGTGGGAAAAAAGTTGCCTTTTCGCATGTTCAGAAAAGAGAATCTGCCTTTTTGTGTGTGTGGCTAATTGACACTCTCTTTGCTTGACTCTGGTTCCTCTTTCCCCCTATCTCCAGTACACCAGATGTGTTTAGATATGGAAAGTGATATTATATCACCAAATAATCTTATACCAACAGCCTTGTGGAATACAAGTTCATTTGTGGACCATCTAAATCCCTTTTGGACTATTCATTCTACCAGCTACAAACCCAATCAATCATATGCTTCTGCTCATATTTACCATTTTATTCAAATCTCAAGAAAACCCAACTATTAAATGCTTTTCTTAAGTGCAAATACAACACCATCTAAATTTATGTGCTTTTTTGATAGGATTAACACATCATGGAAATACTGTAGTCTATTTTTTTCCTGTTCCTGATGACTCCATGTTGAATTCTTTTTATTTTTTAGATTTCGGAGAAGAAGGGCAAGGGAGAGAGAGATAGAAACATCAATGATAAGAGAGAATTTTTGATTGGCTGCCTCCTGCACATCTACCACTAGGGATCTAGCCTGCAACCCGGGCAAGTGCCCTTGACAGTAATCAAACCTGGGACCTTTCAGTCCATAGGCTGATGCTCTATCCACTAAGCCAAACTGGCTAGGGCCATGTTGAATTCTGATGATATTCCCACAAGGTCACACAGAAACTTGATGTTACAACTGAAACCAGAATCCTGAGATTTATATTCCCTGGCTATTACTCCCTCTATACTATGGTGATACTCAAATGCTTACAAGAGGCACTTATTATAAAAAAGGGAGCACTAGAGTAAAAAAATAAGATGAAGCCCTTTAAAGGTAATGTACCCTCACAGCCTTCTTCCACGTATAAATTATTCCTTCATTTTCAAGTATATAGTTAGTCATATTTCTCTAACTTAAAACTGAGCTCATATGAATATCAGCTTCTAAGCAAGCTGTAGAAGAAATAAAATTATTACAACTTTATAATGTGATCTCCCCAGAGGTACAGTCTTGTCTAATTATTTCCTCTCTCATTCCCAAAATTATCTTTGGCTGGGAAATGACCATTTACATAAAACAATATGTAGAAATTAAAACACTTTAATATAATATAAACGTTTCCAGAATATAGACTTTGTATCAGTACTTTTAAAACTATATATCATCTAAGTTTATTATAGACTATTTCATTTTCCACTTTTAGAACTATAAAATACAAAAATACACTGCAAATTAGATTTAACAAACAAAAAAGCAGTCTAAATCTCTTCATACATTTTTCTTAGAGAAAATCAAGAAACATAAACACACAACAATAAAATACCATCAACACAAACCCAAACAAAGAATGGATTTTGTAATGCCTAGTAATTCTTTCACTTAAAATAAATGATCTCCCATGGGTAAATAATTCATTACCACAGCGATTTGATGAGTTAGAAAGAGAGACAACCTCATGAAGGGACATTACATTATATGTAAGAAATATGTAATTTCCCTCCCTCCCTCCCTCAAAAGAAAATCAGGAAAAATAACTTGACAAAAAGGCATGTTAGTTTTACTTCACTTGGCTTTTGTTAGAGATTAAAGTCACTCTCCACTTAGGAAAATTCAAATAACATGAATTTCATAAAATGAAACTCTTTAACTTATTTCTTCAATTCAAACTTAAAATAAGAAAACTAAAACATTCAAAATCCAAGAGTAGATTTGTCCCAAAGAATGACTTCTGTCTTTTCTTCAACAGTATACTTTTGTCTTATGTTCTTGTTTTGTTCTTATGTTCTTTCTCAAAGGCTAGGTTTAGGGTTGTGTGTTTCTTCTTTTAATTCAATTTCAATTTTTACACACAAAAAAAACTTTCCTTAACTGACACTGACTGTATCCACCTCTTTTTCTTCACTGAACATTTCTTTGCCTAAATCCATATTCTTATAAGATTTCTTCAATGCATCTTCGGGTAAATTAACCTAAAAGTTCAAAATCCAAGAATAGACTCATCCCAAAGCATTTCCTCTTCTGTCTTTTCTTCAACAGATTTCTTTTTCTCTTTCCTGTGCTTACGTTCTTCTTTTGTAGAGGGTGTACCGTGGCTTTTTTTCTTTTTTCGGTGCTTAAGCTTGCCTGAACTGACACTAACTTTATCTCGCTCTCTTTTCTTTTGTCGGATGCTCTTGTCCTCACTCTTTTTCTTTTTATGCTTGGAATGCTCTTTCTCTGGCTTTTCTTCACCTTCCTCCAGATGCCTTCTCTTCTGATGTCTCCGTTTATGACCTGCTTGAGGGTCACTGGTGGTGTTTTTTAAGGAGAGGTGCTTGTAAACTTCAGATTCTACACTGTATAAGCCAGAGTTGTTTTCTTGCTGACTAAGGCTTAGGGGTACTGGTTTTTCTGGGAAATAGTCTCTGGTGGGCTGACAATAGGTCATAGAGTCTAGTTTCTGTTTGCTGTCATGAGCTGGTAAGCAATGAGGTAACTGACTTTTCACTACTTGTGAAATATTGTGTGATTCTGGGTAGGTCTGGAAAGTCTCAAATGGGATTCTTGGCTCAGACATTCTATGTCTGGGTCTGGAATCGAACATTTCTCTGTACTTATGGGTTTCCATAGAGCTATCACTTATCTTTCTGAAACAAGTCTTCGGATGTAGTCCTCTAGCTTTCTGCACTTCGATGTAATCTTCAAGTTCATTTTGGAAAGAATAATCATATGTCCTCTTTAAATAAGCTGGTGGTAACCAATGATGTAACTGGCTTTCCACTGGTGAAATATTGTATGGTTGTGGGAAGGTATGAGGAGTCTGAACGGGAAATCTTTGCTCATTGATTCTTTGTCTGGATCCAGAATCAACTTCTCTGTACCCATAGGTTTCCATAGAATTCCCTCTTATCTTTCTGAAACAAGTCTTGGGATGTAATCCTCTGGCTTTTTGCACTTTGATGTAATCTTCCAGTTCATCTTGAAAAGAGTCATATGTCTTTGAATAAGCTGGTAAGTAATGAGGTAAGTGGTTTTCCACTGTTTGTGAAATTTTGTATGATTCTGGGTATGTCCGGAAAGTCTCATATGGGTGTCTTTGTTCATATACTCTATGTCTGGATTGGAAATCAACCACTTTTCTGTATCCACGGGTTTCCAAAGAATTATCTTCCATCTTTCTGAAACAAATCTTGGGCTCTGGTTCTCTAACTTTCTGCGCTTTGATGTAATCTTCACTTTCTACTTGGTAAGAGTCTTGTGTCTTCTTTGAATTCTTCACTAGACTGATAATAATGGATTCTCTGCAACAAAGACAGTAGAAAATTCTTGTTACTAGATTATTTTATTCTGAATATTTTTCTGTACCTTTGAAAAGATTAGTCTAAAAAAACACAATTTTTTAAAACCTACCTAAAATAAAAGCTAGAAATCATGACTTTTTACGCCAAAAAAAGAAGCAGCAAGAATGGTCAGATATGTCCCAGGTACTTCTCAATATTCTACATATAAAAACATTTTCAGGCCTGGGAAGATGGGTACAAAGAAGCAGACATATCTGATAATGTTATAGTACTTACAATGTAAGACATGCTGGGATGTGTGGGAAAGGACCAATAATACTTAATCACTATCAGAAGATCTCATCTATCACATTGTTTTAAAAGTTTGATTAGTTAGTTCCTTGTATAAATATTTTAAATATGATGGCTATTTATTCTGGAACCCTGAGATTTTCTTAGAAGTCTAAATGAAGGTTAATTTGGTGAGTCAGACAATTTACCTCTTAAGTATTCACACTCAATAGTATAAATCTCTTCTACTATAAAATAATTTAATGTTATGCTTTGATTTTAAAAGCAGCAAACCAATATACAATAGCTACCTGACTTATCTAGCCCCTAAATATCCACTCAATCTTCTCATCCTTAAAATCATAGAATAGAATGGGATAAACATTTGTTGAGCTCCTACTATGTTCCAGGCCAGGCACTTTACCCATATTTTTATATTTCATTATAACCACTTTATATCAGAACTGTCCAGAGTTACATAATAGATAGAAAGATAGATCTGGTATTCCAATCCAGGTCTTTCTAACAGCAAGACTTTTGTTATTAACCACTATACTTCACTGGAAGAATGATGACCAGATCACGGAATCTGGAACTAAGCTAACCTACCAGGTATTATTTGAATTTGTATGGTTAGCCAGAGAATGATCCTTTAACATATCTCTCCAAAGAAAAATAATACTGTCAGATAACTTCCTGGGAGATGTTACAAGCATGAAATATGTTACAAATACCACAAATCATATACAGGATTAACTCCTAACGAAATAAATGCTTAGAAAATTTGTAAAATACATGCAAGGATACTTGGTAGAATCCCTAGTCTTTGGTGTTACAGGAGCATTTTGGCAAAAAATACTTACTTAATTTGATGTTCACTTCCTTGCATATGGAACCGGAACATTTCTAATGATGTAAAGGTGATATTACAAATATGACAAATGTAGGTTCTCATACTAAATGCTGAAAAAACAGTTCAAATTAAGGTCAATATGGATACACTTAGAATCACATAGCTGGACAGGAATTTACTAGACACCATCTACTTCAACTTACCCAATCCTATATAATAAAAGCAAATCAACTGAACTACCGAAGGACCTGCAGAATGACTGGTCACTATGACATGCACTGACCACCAGGGGGCAGATGCTCAATGCAGGAGCTGCCTCCTGCTGGTCAGTGCGCTCCCACAGGGGAGCACCGCTCAGCCAGAAGCCAAGCACACAGCTGGCAAGCGGAGCGGTAGTGGCTGGAGCCTCTCCTGCCTCCGCAACAGCAGCAGCAGCACTAAGGAACAGCTAGCTAAGTGGTAAGGAGCAGTGAGCAGGTGAGCGGTAAGGAGCAAGGGGTCCTGGACTGAGAGAGGGATGTCCGACTGCTGGCTTAGGCCCATGCCCCCTGGGATATCCCCCAAGGGGTCCCGGACTGTAAGAGGGTGCATGCTGGGCTGAGGGACCCCCCCCCTTACACAAATTTCATGCACTGGGACTCTAGTTTAAAGATGAGGCCTAGAAAGGTCAAGTGACTTAGTCAAAGTCACAGAACCAGTTAGTAATAAAGATAGCCTCTCAGAGTTCATGTCTCTTAATTTAAAGCCCAGTATTCTTTATACAACATCACACTGCTTCTCTAGCCTTGGCCTCTTTCCTAAAAAATCTGCTGTCTGCCTGCTTATTGTTTCTATGTGTGAGTGCTGTAGGCCCAATGAACCTTTGCCTCTTAACCTCTCAACCAACCTCTTTTTGTTTTTCCCTTATTCTTTACACCCAACCAAAACCTGAAACATCCCTAAAGATTAAAAGCAAATATTTACTCTCTTACCTGAAATCACTGTAATACATTAGTTAGTCAAAAGTACTTTCCACAGACAGATTTTAGAAAGGAGATAGGTTTAGTGAGACCCACTCTCAGGACAAAAGCTGAAAGCAAAATTCTAAAACAAAACTATGAGTTACCACTTCAAAAGAGTTAACAGCTACAGAATAGGTATACTAACTACCTCTCTATTTATGCTTTGTAGGTAGAATTGTAAACAGGGGATAAGTTAATTTTTATTTTCTTAATCTCATCATCCTTCCATTATCTCTTTGGTCAGAAGAAACAAATTAATAAATTTCATGAGCCAAAAATAAAAAACAATCCCACCCTTAAAAGGCAATAAATTGGTGGATGCATAGATTTTAGGGTCAAGCAAGGTCATCTTTGAAATCAAATAGCAACTTAATCATTTATATTATGCTAAAATAATCATTACCAAGTATATTTACCTTTCTGAAGCAAAGATTATTCATAGAAACAGGAAACTAGTGTCAAGGGGAAAGAAAGATGCTGATTTTGAAGAATATGAGAACTCTGCTCATTCTTGACACACTATTTGGGGCAAGGAGAACTTAGCAGATTATGACAAAGTTTGAATGAGTGATTCTTCAAAACTATCCTCTCTCCCTGTGCTCTGATTTTGTGCTTGCAAAGTTATGTTCTGATTATAATTTGGCTTCCCATATTATTTGATACCAAAAAAAGGATACCCTGGATGATTTTTTTTTAAACCCTGAGAACTGAAATATATGCAGGGTGGAGCAAAAGTAGGCTTACAGTTTTGAGTGTGCAAGACACAGTTTATTTTTGTATTATTATTTATTATTTTATTGTTTTCCATAGGAACAACTGGGATGTTAATGAAAAATACAGATCTTTAGGCTCTTCCTTTGGAGAACATGCTTTTCTGTGTCTGGGGCAGGGCATTTGTATTTTAATAATACCCAAGGCTGTGGTTATCAGAGAATGTGTGAGAAATGCACTAAGGGAATACTTTCCAGTTCCTTATTTATTAGCATCTTCCAAGTCTGTCTGTGGTGTGGTGAGTACCTGATTTGAGGCAGATGGACTCAGAATATTCTGGACTTCTTTCAAAGCTAAGGACTAAATTGAGGACTCTTCATGCTCACAGCAATGCTTTTCAGTAAATTGCTATCTTTATTTAACAGATATGGAAATTAAGACTCAGATTCACTTGGCCAATACCATACATTTTGAGAGCATTCAAGTTATACAAGATAAGCAGGAGTCCCTGTTTCCTCTAAATTAGTGTTTCTCAATGCTAGTTACACATTAGAGCCACATGGAGAACTTTAAAACTTTTCATGTTACAGTTCACATCAGACCCATTAAATCAGAATCTCTGAGAGTGGAACCAAGCTTTCTGACTTCTTAAAAGTATTCTAGATGATTTTTCTGTGCAGCCACTGTTGAGCACCACTTCCCTAGTTTATCAAGCCAATGATCTTCATTATGATTATAAACTGAGATTATATTTCAGAGGTTTTACATATTTCTTTAGTGCTTATAAGATAAATGGTATATAATGTCTTTCTCAGTTCCTCCTTTGTTTCTTCAAAAATCACATAAGATTATAATATAGACTAGAGGCCCGGTGCACAAAATTCATGCGGGGGGGGGAGGGTCCCTCACTCCGGCCTGTGTCCTCAGAGGATGTCCGACTGCTGGTTTAGTCCCCATCCCCGGCAGTTGGACATCCCTCACCTACATTTTTTTTGCCCTGATTATAAAAAGTAGTACATAACATGATCCTTCTGAGGCAATAGTACCATTTTCCCCATCTTATGGGTGGAAAAACTGTAGCAGAGAGAAGTTAAATAATTGGCTTTGTCACATAGTTGTAAGTGTCAGAATCAGGGCTGATCACAAAATGTGCAAGCCAGAGTCCCCTGCATCATCCTGTTTTTTTCAGTGTTAGAGTAGCCTAGCCAGGTTTTAATTTTTAAATCTAAGAGACTGTTCCCAATATATAGGGTAGGGTCCCTAGACATGACTGGCAATCAGGGCCAATCTGTGGGGCAACCAGTGGGCAGGGTGATCGGGGGGGGGGGCACTGGAACCTACCTTGGCTGGCAGCCTGGCACCACCAGATGGTGACCTCCCTCTTGAGGGGCAGACACTCAACACAGGAGCTGCCCCCTGATGGTCAGTGCGTGTCATAGCGACCAGTCATTTCACCATTTGGTCTATTTACATATTAGGGTTTTATATAGGACTAGAGGCCTGGTGCACAAAATTCTTGCACTTAGGGGGGTCCCTCAGCCTGGCCTGCACCCTCTCGCAGTCTGGGAGCCCTCAGGGGATGTCTGACTGATGGCTTAGGCCCGCTCCCCCAAGACATCCTTAGCGCTGCCGCAGAGCCCGGCTTCTGGCTGAGCAGTGGTCCCCCTGTGGGAAAGCACTGATCACGAGGGGTCAGCTCCTGCATTGAGCGTCTGTCCCCTGGTGGTCAGTGCACATCATAGCTACTGGTCATTCCACCATCAGGCTGAAACCGGCTCTCCGACATCCCCCAAGGGGTCCTGGATTGTGAGAGGGCACAGGCCAGGTGAGGGACCCCACCAGTGCACAATTGAGGCTAGGGAGGGATGTGGGAGGTTGGCCAGCTGGGGAGGAATCATGGGAGGGCTCCCGGGCATGTCCAGCCCGTCTTGCTCAGTCCCGATCAGCCGGACCCCAGCAGCAAGCTAACCTACCACTCAGAGCGTCTTCCCCCTGGTGATCAGTGCATGTCATAGAGACTGGTCCACCAGTTGACTGCCCCCTGGTGGTCAGTGCACATCATAGCGAGCCATTGAGCAGCCTTAGCATATTACGCTTTGATTGGTTGAACAGCCAACTCTATGACCACACACTTAGCATATTAGGCTTTTATTACATAGGATAATACAAGGTTCTATATAGGATAATACAAGAGTTTAGAGGAACTGCAGGTCACACATGAAAGGTCCAGAGGCAGTTCTGAAACTGTGGTCTCATTACTATTAACTTACCCATTGTCTTTTTCACATACTGATAATCCTTATCTTTTTGTAAGATATTCACATTGCAGAAAATAATATATAAAAACAGTGTAAACCCTTTCTGTGAAGATATATATTTATTGTCCCTGAGATAAAAATTCCTGGTCTAATACTCCTGAATCTGCCTGCATATGTTTCTTATGCTCTCTACCTCCCTATCTGAATCTGCTCCTTGGTCCTGTCTAGCTTTGCTGCCCTTAGCTCTGCTAGGATTCCTTGTTTCTGACTTCACCCAGAAACTCAAGCTTCTTTGCACCTTATACCTTTCAGAATCTTCCATAACCACTTGTGGGGCCCACATTTCTCCTAATCACAGCCCAATCTCATAACTCCCTTGATTAAGGTCTTTGTTTTCAAAGCATAAATTAGGGAAGTGCATGTCCTCATAGTCTAACATTGTGGTCCTCAATCTTGGCTCTATATTATAATCAATTGGGGAGTTAAAAAAGAAAACAAAACATTAATATTTAGGTCCCAAATATAATTGATTTGAGGGAAGGCCTGAGCACTAGAATTTCTAACAGCTCCATGAGTTATTCTAATATTTAGTCAAGGATGAGAAACATGGGTCTAATGTCTTAAATGGGGATAAAGCGATTGATAGCTATATGTAAGCAAAAATGCAACTTAATATGGGATTTAACTTATGAAGAAAAAAATGTCCAGTTTACCTTTTAAAAATAGTTTTATGACAGGAGAACAAAACATTTTTAAAAACTTTCCGAAACCGGTTTGGCTCAGTGGATAGAGCGTCGGCCTGTGGACTGAAAGGCCCCAGGTTCGATTCCGGTCAAGGGCATGTACCTGGGTTGCAGGCACATCCCCAGTAGATGTGCAGAAGGCAGCTGATCAATGTTTCTCTCTCATCGATGTTTCTAACTCTCTCTCCCCCTTCCTCTCTGTAAAAAATCAATAAAATATATTTAAAAAAATAAAAACTAACATTTGTTGAGGAACTATTCTGTGATGGATACTGTATATACTGCTTTATTTCATCCTGTTTTCAATCCTGTGAAGTAGCCTTATTTTCATTTTATACTTGAAGAATCTGAATTGCAACTGGGCAAGTGACTTTGAACATGTCTCTGAATCTATGTT